TTGGCCTTAACAGTATCTGCAATTTTTACGTCGAATTTTGCAGCTTGGACAGGTATTTCAGGATGCTTAGCAGGAATCAATCGACAATTAGCTATGACGTGTCCTTTCTTTCCACATCGCAAGCATAAGCCATCTATTTTGCGCCCATTCAACTCAACACATGATACCCACTTCGCACGGACTTTATCAACACCGATCGTTCTTGTATTGCTGTCCATATCCTTACTGTGCAAGCTGACTTTGGCTGGAAGGTGGTGCATTATTTCTTGTGAGATTTCCCCTAGTAATTTGCCCCCAGCAACGCCTTTTGTTCCATTGTCGAAGTACCCTGTCTGACCTAACAGGTAATCCCTTGTAATTTCCATACCAACCTCGTCAATTTCAGAACCCAAGATTGATAGGTAATCAATTACTTCTTGGAGTGTTCTAGGGCACAGACTACCAATCATGTAATTTCTAGTTGTCTTATTCATAGAGTTTTGTAACAAGTAGATCTTGCATTTCTCTTTCTCTTTCGAACTGGGACTTCGTGAGAGTAACTGCTGGAAGCGCGGTAGATATGACGAAAGGTTCTCGTCCCGGAATTGTCGGTATGCATGAAATAGTGCGGCCGCCAATTGTTCCTCGTTTCTGTCACGGTAGATATCATCCATTGCCTGGAACAGCCCTAGCGCATCCCATTCCATGCCGTTTGCAAGCATACTCTGAAACTGACCTGTAATCATATCTTTCGCTGTTCCAGTCACTGCATGACTAAATAATTGCACTGAAAAGTCAGACGGTTGAAGAATATTCCGCTCCTCTACATTGCGCCTGTATATGTATCGAAGTATCCCGTGTGTAATTGCCCACTTAGTTCTATCCTTGTGGTTGTATGCTTCTGGCCATTTAAGGGGTTCCTCTTCTATGAAACATTCCCTGCGTTCTGATTGGCCTCTCACATTAGTTCTTGACGGTTGCAGGGGAGTTTTTTTCTTATTCTCCAATCGTTCCTGCATCGTTTTCATCATTTCGTTCATCTGAGATCGTAGAATCCCAAGGTCTCTTCTGTGTTCAATTCCACTTAATCTCATTTTTTCGACCAGTCACTGCATTTCCGATTGTATTTCTTCATGTGGCATAGATTCATGATTCGATAAACTAGTTGCCATAGAGTCCGTTCCGATGTTAAAATTGTTCATATTTGAACCCATTGTTGATTCTTCGAATCCCTGTGCGTTGAAACCAATAGTTAAAGATGCCCTAAGTCACAGTTATTTAAGGCTGCGATATACTTAATTACGGGCAAAGAATGTGATAGATATAGTTTAAATTGTGACAGAAACCGAGTTGGTTGTGAATAAATCGATTTATTAAACTATATGAGGAGAAAAGAGAACCCTAGCTACAACTAACAGGTATTTATAAGAATTGGTCCCCTTCGTCAATCTCCAGACTGATGACTTATCCTTAGGCACAATACTTGCTACCCAGCCACGTATTGCCAGGTGTTACTTAGTTGTAGTAACGCTTCGACCTCCTGACTAGTAGTGCCGCTTAGTTGTAAATATTCCCAACAATCCGCTTAGGTATTCACCTAAGCTCTAATAGCGGTCAAACCGTAACACACAGAGCCTAAGTGTGACGGGAACCCCGAGTTGGTGATGATAATGTCGATTTAATAAACTGTATAAAGAAGAAAGAGAAATCTAGCTACAACTAGCGGGTATTTATAATATTCAGCCTTTCAGTGATTGTCTTGACTGATTTCTTCACCCTAGGCCGAATACTTGCCACCCAGCCACATATTATCAAGAATCACTACGCTGTGACACTGATCTGGCCCCTTGGCTGGTAGTGCCGTATCTTCCAGTTCCCTCTATCATTTCCTTACAGTCTTACAACATGAATCTTCAACAATACGCTTAGGTATCCACATAAGCTCAGACAACGGCCAAACCGTAACACTAAGCCATACCATAAATATAAGGAAATGGTTAAACTGTCCTTTGCAGCTATTGATGGTGACATGAATTAAGATGATGATTGTGATTGAGATAGATTTCTATATAGTTTATAATACATGATATGCTCAGGCTCATATACCTCGAGCGAAGCAACCAGATTGTGTTCCCCCAGATCTAGATTCATCAGAATAATTATCTACTCAGTAAAATTCTCCTAGTCTCAGTTGTGTGTTTAGGATCTTGATTAGGTTTCTAGTAACTAGTCAATGATGTTTCTCATATGACTGAGACATAGTCATGGTTGATACAACAGGTACAAACGATGAATCGTGTCTGTACATGACGTTGTGATATAGTCATGATTGTCCGAACAATATCAACTCATGAATGAATCATGTCTCTACATGAGAATAAACGAGTGTGGCGCCTTCTAGGCATAGAAAACCCCCAATAACCTCCTTGCGCCCATGCCATACAGCCGCTCATGTCTCCGATAGGTAGCCTGAAGCGCTACCATATTGCCTATTCCAACCTCTTACATACACACAAGATCGTGTCAGGAACCTAGACGAAATGGAGGGCCCGTACGTCCACAACACTCCGTGTCTCCATTTCCTACAAGGAGGGCTATAGGTCTCCAGCCTTTAATAGTGGTTGGGTCCCGATTTGGCTTTTCCAGTAGTACCACCTCTGCCAGCTTGAAGAAAGAAGGATGAGTGCCCAGCCGTAAATAGGCTATAAAGAATTGCAAAATAGACGGTCCGATCGTCTTCCAGCAAGCCTCGAAGAGCTCAACCGTAACTCCGTCTGCCCCTGGTGCTGTCTTTCCACAGCCGATTGTGCAAGCTCGCACTTCCTTGTCTGAGATTTCACCTTCCCAAGGTGTTCAATTATCGCTTGGAGTGTTGCATGGCGGAAGGTTGTTCGATTGTTGGTGGCGTGCAAGAAGGGCGTCTCGGAGAATGGTGTTGTGACAAAGTTATGAGCAGATATAGAATAGTGTATAAGCTAGGGATAACAGCGAATGAGCAGAAAGAGATAATCGGACACTGACAATGTGAGACCAGTTGAGAGATAATAATTGAGTGATAGTCTATGCCCCATAGATAGGACTCATATATATGTACATTATCTGCACCCATAACAAAGCCCTTTGTCACATAAACAGAGTAACATATTCTGCACTGCGTTGTACTAGTAACACTCAGTTACAAGCGCTGATCGTAATAAGTCGTGCTGGGACTATTTAATCCCTGTATTGCATACTAGCACTTGTACTTCTGACATGGGTGCACTCATACCAACTATGACAGTTACATCACAATAGGGGGACTATTCTCAACACCTGTCAGTGGTGTCCCCTACAAATCTCCAGCTCTCACTGTAGAGTCTGCAGAGCCGAGATTGAGTAACAAAGTCCTCACTTCGAAGAGGATTCCCAATCGCTTTCGCGGTCTGTGTCGTCTTCACCTCTCAACACATTCCCCTATCACCACTATCATGAAGCTTACCACAATCAGATTAGATTGTAGGGTCGGAGCCCTACTCGTCACCAACCCTTGATCAAGGAGAAAAAGCCATCCGATGAGTTTCCGGAGCGTACCCAGCACCCGATACAGAGATGGTGGATTGGATCAAGTCGACATTGACTGTTACAAAGAAGGGAGATATAGATGAATATGGACACCTCATATGGTCCCGGTGTCAAGGCCTAGCCTGGCTGGGGCTGCAGGTTTTTTTGAGACTTTCTCCCGCGCACGTAGCTTCCATTGCTACCATTTTTAATTTTTTTGGGCAGAATATTCCGTGGAAAAGGTAGCCGAATTCCACGGGTAAACACTGAGCTGAATGGCTATTCATCAAGGGGAATATATCAATGATCTTTCAAGTAACAAAAGAGGATAGGAGCACTGTACAAGGTGTTGCCTGAGTCAGAGAGTAGCCCAATGTGCTAGATAGTCATAGACTCAAGTAGTACAATAAAACACACACACACATACATCACAATATGTAGCCCTCTGATAGTTGGGACAAGTCTTCTACCAAATTATATCGGAATCAATACTAGCCTCTCCTTAAGCAATCTAATGAATTATTTGCAATGTCTATGATGACAGACATACATAAATAAAGTCGGCAACAAGTTTAAATTCGATAAATTTGCATGAGGTGGATCCAGAATTCTACCAGGCCTAATGGGTCGTATGGAGAAGTGCATGACATACTTGGAATGAAACTAAGAAACAGTAATCTTTGCTTTGATGATAAGGCACAGAACTAATTAAAATCAGGCTCTAGTCGATGGCAGTGGTTATCTGATTATGTAACAGTTATTTGACATGCCGCAAAATGGCGACGGCGACATCGGTTTACCAAATATTGGTGATTAGCTATATTTACGATAAGAACGTAATGCGTGCGCGAAGAAGACATTGTTAGAAGTCGAATATCTTCATATCGAATATCATTGTAACGAGTCCGCACTGTATTGTTAATCTGTTTAGTTCCTCTGTCTTTTCAAGATTGGGACGAGATATGTGGATCCCGTCCACCTAGGTACAGGCCGTTTTGAACGCTCCACATTCCTCTGGCCGAGATTAGACGACTCCTTCAATATCAAGGTGACTTTGCCCTGGTCCTGCCAATGAAAATAAAACCCTCTAGCCTCCATAACGTCTGTCAATGCATGTCCCAGTCTAGCTTTGTACATTTTCCCTTGGAACAAGACTTTTTATGTCATAGTCTGCGGCCCGGATTACCTAACAGCAGATTATGGATGCGGAAGACCCGACTAGGTGATGAGTGGTAAGCTCCTTTTCAATATCGGAGTTAACCATCACGCCATGTGTATAAGAGAGACTATTCCAACTTCATAGTCTGCTTCCAGATCAAGAGCTTCCCATATCACTCGAAGAAGACTAATTTACACTATCACTAAGCTCCTACTATTCCTGACTTCCGGGAAGCCGATTAATCTTCAAGATCAAAATTACCAAAAAATCCAATCACTCCACTAGAATTTAAGCAATAATTGTTACATAAAACAACTGCAACATGAAAATCTTCAGTCTTATTTCACTCGCCGCTATTTTAAATCATCTGACGCCTATACTTGCCGCTCCGGATTATGATTGTGGACCAGCGCGTATTCCTGGGAGTCGCATACAAAGTGCTCATGATGAGGCCCACAGTTTGAGACTTCAAACTGCCACTCGTAGTTACGAACCCGATGAACAATTTATTATAGCAACTTACAAACATCAACATCGGGAAGATACAGGTTTGCAATTTTATTCAAAAAAATACATTCTTTCCTACTAATGCTTATGTCCAGAAACTGTAGAGTTCATAGTCAAATTTGGATGTACAATTGAAAAGAAAATTAAGTGGGTAAAAGCCTTTGCTAAAGGGGAATGGTATCATTGTGAGCCAGCAACAGTGGAGCCATAGGAATCTTTAGGACTTTCTCGATCTGGTTATTATGAATTCTAGAAACGTAAAATGAGATTTTCCAAATGTGGCAGACTTAAGTTAGAGCGTACGTAAAAATTTCAGCACAATTGTGCGAGGTTCAGGTGATGGTAAAGAACCGTGCCAGATCGAGAAAGCGACTACCCATCAAAAGAACTCAAAAATCCCTTCCACATCTTTTTTATTATTATTTTGAATCAGATTGTAGTTGCGTTTGCAGCTATCTAGCTATGACACAATATCAAAGAAAAATACAGAATAAATGATTGAACGTAAAGGAAGAGCACTCATGCCTCGGATTTCATTAGCAAGTACCACTGCGAAGTTATGGTGGCTTTTTCTTCACTCCAAGTCAACCCTCATCCGTGAATACCCACCCAGGGGAACGTCTCAAAAACCCTGAGTTATCCAGACATGCCTCTGTCATCCATCAAATTTTCTCCGCGCGAAATATGGTCTTAGGCATCTACTTCCCAAGTGAAGTAGGTGCCCAGGCTACTAAGACTGTACCGGAGAACACCACCAGGAGGCGGACCACTACACCTTCTATCGTTTGCTTATTTTTATAATGTCACGTGCACTCTCTCAAGCGAAGTCTTGGCGCGCACAAAGGTCAATTCGTAGACCTCTTGCCAATTTTCAAAACTCCACGCCCGTCAAGACTGTATCCATCCTTCGCATCATCTTGTGAACTTGTCCTGATCCCTCTCACGTCCATCCCAAAGAACTATCTCCTAGATTTGTGCGCCACGCTATTCTTCCTCCGTCTGGTATAAGTATCAGCGTGGGCGTGTATTTGGCGGTCAACTGAGGCCAGAGAAGGTCGAAGAGTGGTGTGGTCATTAGGATGAGGATGTACTTGGTCGTACTTGTAGACTTGATGAGACGAAGGTAGGAGTCAAACTTGTTGGGGGCGAAATAACGACGTGGAGTAATTTGAAATTTTGCCTCGTGGGCCAACTTCTTTGATGTTGCGAAATTTGACTGAACTTGGCTCTGGGAGAATATTTCACTCCCAGGTTCGTAGAGAGCACCACTGACAGGTGTTCAGTCTTGCCCTCCAGAGATATCTTCATTAGTGTGTGGAAGTGAAGTGACTTTGATAATTGTTATGATACACATAGGGGGAAGCTCGTCCCTTATCTCCTAGCTTGTTCGCTTGTAGACCGATCACGTTACCAGTATGCAGCTCAACAAAGTGTGCAACCAACTGAGCAGCCATGCCATTTGTCCTATATCAACAACCCATCTCTCGTACTGCACACATTACTACATGAAATGTCGTTAGGTAGAGACTGGATCTCCTCCATGCGCCAGAATAACTACCTATGCACTAGCTACTAGATCTACCATACTACATAGCAGAGCATAACTACATTAGGGCACTGAAAAGATATTAGAATAGCCTCATTTGCTTTTTGGCGATGACAAGGGACCACAGTGTTAGATTCTAAGACCAGACTCTTTAGGTAGCAGTTTGGAATGAAGTTTTGAGTTCTTTTGTTGGGTAGTTGCCTTCTCCATCTCTCCATGATCACGGGACTTTATCTGAATTGTGCTGTCAATTCTCACTCACTCCTCTTTATCTCACCCACGTCTGCCATATTTTGATCCTATCATTCTGCGTGTCTAGTATTCGCAATAACTTGATCGAGGGGCTGCAGCAGATTGCACTGGTGTTGAAAATAAACTGAGAATATGCAGAACTCTTGGAGTGACCACGGAGAAATACAAAGTATACATTTCAAAGGGTATCCGTAGATGTGGATTATTTATATAGCAAAGGCTTGATGGAAACTCTTGATTTTTACTTAAGGATATGAGACTGCCTAAATACATTGATGTCTGGCAATGACAAGGGCTAGAGAGTAGTGCCTCATTACAGGATACAACGCCACAAACTACAGATCTGATACCAGCTACACGTATTCTCGTCGCAGTCTCGAAGATCAGAAGTGACAAAAGATGATGGTGCAACTAGTAGCGGATGGGCGACACCCGACCATCTTGATGGACACATACTCAAACCACAAGCACGAGGAGTGTCTATGTTGCGTTCACAAATTCAGGCACCTTCTTTGTTGGATGACATTCAATCTCTTGCCCGAGAGCCGAAGCTTTAACTTTAGTAATTTCCTTAAGAATTGTAAAATCTGCTGAAACCTGAACATCCATATATGCTGGAATTGAGTATTAGTAGAAAACAATGACTATTTAGAGTGAAGTTACAGACCACCGTTATGGAAATATTTAACCGGGAAAGTGGCCGTTTTAAAATATTCGTTGGGTCCGTAATCTCTAGTCACACTTGGCATTATATATTTGTGGTAGGAGTTAACACAATCTTGTACGTAACTTCCATGAATAACTGCTGGACCACATTGATAATTCCACGTATCAGCGGCATGTACAGGCGTAAGATTATTTAAAACAGCTGCAATTGAAATAAGACTGAGGATTTTCATGTTGCAGTTGTTTTGTGAAGCAATTATTGCTTATATTTTGGTGGAGTGACTGGATTTGTTGACAATTTTGATCTTTCAGATTTATCGGCTTCCAAGAAGTCAGGAATAGTAGGAGCTTAGTGAGAGTGTAAAGTAGCCTTCTTCGAGTGATATGGGAAGCTCTTGATCTGGAAATAGACTTTGAAGCTGGAATAGTCTCTCTTATACACATGGCGTGATGGTTAACTCCGATATTGAAAAGGAGCTTACCACTCATCACCTAGTCGGGTCTTCCGCATCCATAATCTGCTGTTAGGTAATCCGGGCCGCAGACTATGACATAAAAAGTCTTGTTCCAAGGGAAAATGTACAAAGCTAGACTGGGACATGCATTGACAGACGTTATGGAGGCTAGAGGGTTTTATTTTCATTGGCAGGACCAGGGCAAAGTCACCTTGATATTGAAGGAGTCGTCTAATCTCGGCCAGAGGAACGTGGAACGATCCAAACGGTCTGCACCTTGGTGGACGGGATCCACATAATTCGGCCCAGACTTAAAAAGGCAGAGAAATTAAATGCACTGTCAACAATAGCATCCGAGCTGCTTTCATGGATAAACGTAGTGGAAGCTAGGATGGTGTCTCATGGGGAGTTGCATGGCAAACCACAACTTGGTGTTATTTATTTATCTATCTATCTATTTATTTATTTATTTATTTATTTATTTATTTATTTATTTATTTATTTATTTATTTATTTATTTATTTATTTATTTATTTATTTATTTATTTATTTATTTATTTATTTATTTATTTATTTATTTATTTATTTATTTATTTATTTATTTATTTATTTATTTATTTATTTATTTATTTATTTATTTATTTATTTATTTATTTATTTATTTATTTATTTATTTATTTATTTATTTATTTATTTATTTATTTATTTATTTATTTATTTATTTATTTATTTATTTATTTATTTATTTATTTATTTATTTATTTATTTATTTATTTATTTATTTATTTATTTATTTATTTATTTATTTGAATTGAATTGAATTGAATTAGTCTCGTTTAACGTCCTATGCGGTATCTATATACAGAACCATGAAGACGGCAAGCCGCTTTGGTAAGGGAAAAAGCTTTCAACAAACAAAACCCGATGTCCTGCCACTTTGAACCGACCCGGCTTTATGCTGAGGACGTTCCTTTCAACCGCAATTATGTAAACTTTCCTCGAAATTCATTAACTCACCCTTCAATCAGACTAACATTATGAGAAATTGAAAAGAGAAGGCACCTCCTCACTCGGCGTTGGTCTTCGAAGTGTTCGAAGAGTTGGCCCAGATGGTGGTGCTGTTGTGGCGGGGATTGTTGGTGCCACTGGGGCTTCGACTACCTTGCGTGGTCGTCCCGGCCCTCTTTAGAGTACTTCAGCCTTTTTACTGGTGACTAAAGTGAATCCTTGATCATCAGTCGTTTCGACTGTTCGCATTGGCGCCACCGTAGGTTTCTCGTTCCATATTTCCGCCGTCCTCGATAACAGCTCCATCCGAGCCTTCTCCACACTTCCCTTGTAGACCTGGTAGGTCCGACACGCTGCTTTCTGCCATGAACGATGTTCCTTGCCGCAGTTGGCACAAGAAACCCTTTCCTCGGACAGTCCCGAGTTTGGTGAGCTCCAGCGCACTCACCGCACCTGGCTGCCTTTCCACACGACGCCTGCGTGTGTCCCCACTGGCTGCAGTTGTAACACTGTTTTGGCTGAGCCCGTGGCGACCACACCTGCGCGGTGAAGAGCATGGCGTTAATAACAAGGCCCTGTCGCACTACCTCCGTTTGCATTGCCTCCGATGGGAGGCTGACCACAATTGAACCTCGATTGCGACCGTTGTTCTTCGATCGCTGGTGCTCCTTTCCATCGTGTAGCCATCGTATTCTGCTAATTACCAGGCCTGGAATACGTGCCTTGGTCGCCGTCTCAATCTCCCTGATGATGGCGTAGTTGTTGGCATCTCTGCCACCCTCAATTCGAGTCCGCAAAGGGACACCAGAAACCTCGACGGGAAAATCTTGCCGTAAAATCTTAAAGTTGTTAGGTTGGCGCATGTTGAGCGCCGCGTCTCTCTGGGACGCCGACTGGACGAACACCTCAGTGTCGTTGCTTCGCATTTGGCGAATCGCGTATGCGCCTTGGATATGTTGTTGTGCCTTTGTTAGCAGCTCTTGTGGCTGCAAGTTTTGTGCGCCGTCAATTCTAATTCTGACCGCCGTTTTCGCCATTTTCGGAGCTACGACCGACGCGTAAGTCCTTGGTAGCGGCTTCCTAGACGACACAACAGAAGCTGCTTGTCGCGCGGCGTCCGTGATGCTTTTCTTTACTACTTCCTCTAATGCTATCATCCTCTCCTCGATCGGAGAAGGGATCTGGGACAACGATGTCCAAGCCTTCTTGTGATAATTGAATGCCTTGACGGCTTCATTAACGTCTTCCATTGTTGGTAGGTCTTCCTCATCCATCTCTCCCATCACAATAAGTCTGACCTTTTTTAATAGTTTCCCTATTATTTCCAAGTTAGGATCCTTTGGAGCTATCTGCGCTCCGCTGCCGTTGTTTGTGTTAAAGTTATGAGCTTGAGCGAAGATGGAGGTTGTAGCGGAATCAGTGTCGGCGGTTTGACCGATGCAGTAAGTCTCGTATGAGGTTGTGAGAGGAAGATCCGAGTGGAAACAATTGTATTTAGATGTATGGTTCAGAGTAAAACCGAGATGATAAGAATGAGATTGCGTGTTTGCATATCTTATCAACTGTGGTTTTTGACCAGTATTTATCAATCTCCATGGATCGTAAGTTATGATCCATGTAGATGTAGATCTATGTACATACACATATATGGGTCAGGAATATAAAGCTAAATACATGTGTGTCGGTAATAGATACGAGAAAACTATAACCTGCATTTGAGACATAGTCATCCGCTGGAATGCTAGTGTGAAATAAACGCTAATGCGCATTAAACTTTCGGTGAATGATGTATTGATAACAGTGATATAGAATGGGGAATTTGATAGTCAAATTAGCCGGACTAACTAATAAGTTATTCTTGGCATTCCAAGATATATCATATTTCAACAGTTTGATGGTGCCATTGTCGCATTTTGCGACGCGTCGAAACCGCTGGATTTACCCACACTAGCACCCACACTCGCCATGTTAGAGCACAGAAAGCGATAAGATGAAAGGAGGGTAATGAAGATGTAAAAATAACAATCACGATGTCAAATTGATGACACGGGCAGCATGGAACGCTGCGCAGCTTTCTGGCAAAAATGATGTTTTATGTTTATTTATTTATTTGATTTGTGTTCATTATCCTGATTTGGCGCCCTATGGGTCCATGCTGGTGGCTATGAAACTATCTATATATATGTACATGAGGGGGAAACCATTACGATAAAAACCCCCTCCCCCTGTAAATTTTTATGTCTGTAATCCTTCGTTACCTACAGGAAGTGCAATTGGCCTTTAGCCCGACACAGGACTAGTTAAAGTTGTCTTCGACCTCGCCATTCTTCCCTGCCCTCGCGTGCTGAAAAGTGATGACTGAGGCCTTGAGTTTTTATTTATTTATTCATATACTTATTTATTTATGATATTGAACGTCGTGCCTGCGCACTGCACTTGAGTTCCTCACGTACCGGTTAGCCCAGCCTAAATTAAACAACCCGACGTGTTGTCGCCCACACGGCCCCAACAAAGCAGACAATTGCTAGGATCTTCTGCACGCAGAAAAATTAAATATTTTGACGAAGGAAATTTAAGGAAACGCGATCAAAATAGGAGAGATGATATAGCGAAATGGACCTTAGTCTGCAGCAACATCGAGTCTAAACCAGGACAGAAAGTAGCCGGTAAGAACGCCACGTTCAAGGAATGGTCAGAATCGTGGACGAGCCAGAAGAAAGAGCGACACCTAGGTCCCCGAGCGCAAGCCAATCCGGATAAGTGGAATGCTGCAAACTTATACAACGACAAGAAAACTGGTAGACTTATGATAAACTATAGAGAGTCACCTATCCAAACCCACCAAAACCTTAGCAGGGCCCAGAGCAGCATTGCCACACAAGTAAGAAGCGAGCACATTGGGCTCAATGCTTACTTATACAGAAGGGCCGTGCCAGGAGTAGGAAAACCATGCTGCCAATGTGGATATCCGTCCCAAAATATAAAGCACATGGTGATGTCTTGTCCAAGATGGGCAAAGGGACGAGGTGAGCTGCTACGAAAATCGACAACTCGATCTTTCGAAGCTAATGTAAATAACGTCAAAGATATGACTAGAATTGCACAGTGGATTCAAAAGGAAGGATGGCTAGAGCAATTTCGGATGACCGGGGAAATCGAGGCGTTAATCAGGCGAAGGGAGGAAAATGGATACACAGGACAAGGACGGAATCCACACTGGCAACAACAGCGTGAGTGCACTTCCTAGTGGTAAGACAATAATCGCGCAGAGTCAAGTCAGACAGCTAAGGGGTTTTTACCGCAAGGTTTCCTCCTATGTAAATATTAGAGTTCGTAGACACCTGCATGGGCCCATAGGGCGCCAAATCGGGCTAAATGAAATCAAATTCAAAAAATAGCCAGGATCTTATCATCCTACGCTCGAAAATTAATTTTTTTTTGCATCAGATTTTAATTGCGTATGCAGCTATCTAGCTATGACACAATATCAAAGAAAAGTACAGAAAAGATGACTCAATGTACAAGAAGAAGACTTATGCCTCAGATTTCATTTGCAAGTACCACTGCGAAGTAATGGTAGCTTTTGCTTCACCCCAAGTCAATCCTCATCCGTGAGTACCCACCCAGGGGAACTTCTCAAAAACCCTGAGTTACCCAGACATGCCTCCGTCATCCATTAACTTTTCTCCGCGCGAAATGAAATCTGAGATGTCTCCTTCCCAAGTGGAGTAGGTGCCCAGGCTACTCAAACAATACCAGAGAACAGCACC